TGTACCGGTCGGTACACCAAATTTTGGTTGGTATGTCAAAATTTAATCAAAATTGTCGAATTTTGATCGAAATAAAATTTTAACTTATTCTGTTTCGATTCATTTCAAAAATTGATGCGTACTAATCATACCAATCGATACGAAACGGTACTGACTTCTTTACTTTTAACCAATATTTTTTATAATTTAAAATTCATTAAAAATTTAAAAATTAATAATTCAACTCTCAATTTGTATCCTACCCTAACTTTATTAGTAATGTGACGGTTTTTTTTTTATAAATTTTAAATTATAAAATGTGTTAATTAAAAATAAAAATTATAAAAGATATTAATTATAAAAAATAATATGCATGGAAGATTGACTGGTGGAGGGATTTATTAGGGAGGGCCAGAGAGGATGAGAGATTACTATTATTGGAACATTTAGCAGGGGTAAGAATGAAAGAGGGTATTGAAAATAAGAGAATTTGTAAACATGATGGCAATGGAGAATATATATTCTGTTAAAAAGGCCTATTCTAGTTTATTTGTTGATCAATATGTGCTGGAAAATGACCTGTGCAAAGCAACATGGAATAGTCTTTGCCTGAAAGAATTTCTTTTTTTGCTTGGAGATTGTTTTTGGACAAACTCCTAACTAAAATCAATCTGGATCAAAGAGGCATTTGAGTGGGAGATAGAAAAAAAAAAACCTTTGTGAAGGATGCAAGGAGGAGGCAGAGGATGTGAGGCATTATATGAACTACAGGTTCACGTACTATGTGTGGATGAATTGTCTAAAATGGTGGGGATTTTCTGCTATGCTACCTAATAACGTCCAGGACGCTTATAGGCAAATTGTTTTGGGAATGGGCAATAATAGATCAAGGAGGGTGTGGTCCTATTTGTTTATGGTTATAGCATGGTCTTTATGGAATGCACACAATAATCTTATTTTCAAAGACCAAGATGTTTCAGTGGAGACAGTATTTGAGAGCATCGAAATTATATCATTCTTATGGTTTGAAGGAAGGGTAAGGGCTTTATATATTCATATTATGAATGGGAATATAGTCCTATAAACTGTGCAGCAACTATCTTGTAGGCCAGTGAGTAAATTTTGCTTGTGCTATATAAATTTTGAGGATTAAGGTTGATTCATTTATACTTTTTGATGTACTATTTTAAGGTACTTTTAGCACCTCACTAATAAATTTTTTTATTGAAAAAGATAATATGCAAAGTATAAATGAAGAGTTTCACCTTTTTTCTTTTCTTTTTTTCAATTTTTAATGTTAATTAATTTATACAACAAAAATACCAAAGTGCTGGAACTTTTTTTTTTTTTCGAGGTCAAATAATGTTTGGTCAATTTCGCTGAGCTTAACCATGTCCTGTATGAAATTGTTGTATTGAATTGTAGTAATTGGTTTTATAGCTGCCCTTTCTTGTGTTTCGCTGTATTAACAAATATCTTAGCATTTGAGTAAATATTTATCAAAAGTGCAATGAATATGTTGTTGGTGAACTTATTAATGAGTATTGTTTGGAATTTTATCAATATTTATCAGGTTTTGTTAATAGTTTCAACTTTTTATTTTGTGTCAAAAGTTGTTGTAGTCGTTTATAACTCTCTGATAAAGTAACTTGCAAAAATGTTTTAGATACAAGTATGCCAAATACTATTAAAAAATCAATGCAAAACAGCGTGGACTCAATTTCCTCTCCTAATTTCATCGAAGGATGTTGTTTTAATATTATTCTAATCCTTATTCACCGAAAAAAAAAAAAAAAAAAAAAACGAAGTTATTGATGTTGGGATTAACATTATGACTTCAAATAAGAA